CAGGTATTCTTTTATGATTTGCATGAGCTCAGGCTGTAAGAACATGTGCATTTGGTTACAGTCCTCATAAAGTGTGAACTACAAATAGATCAGAGAACGTATCAAACGCTGCATTGTCATAGATATTAAGAATATTTGAATAGGGGCTGGAGAGATGGCTCAGTGGCTAAGTGCACAGACTACTCTTCCAGAGAACCCAGGCTTAATTTTCAACATCCACATGACAGTTCTAGTGGATCCAATGTGTGGCTTCCTTTGGCACCAGGCACACATGTGGTTCACAGACACACACGCAGGCAAAGTAAAGTGTATTTGAGGTACATGCCCCAATGGGCAAACACTCATTTTAATTGTAAAAACAAAACCTCAAGTAATCTTTCTCTAAATAGTCTTGAAAACAGAAAGGAGAGCAGGGGAGCTACTGGGAGTAGGAAGGAGATCAGTGTGTGGCAGGCAAGGAGGAGAGGAAGAGGTCCACAGAAACAACTGATGCTAATGCCTTAACAAAGCCCATTAATTTCTCTTCTAATTTTTAACTAATAAAAAATAAAACTAAAGGGAAAAAAGAGAACCATTTATAGCTACACTTGGAAATTGAATTAATAAACTATCATATAGCTTGTTTCTAATGATAATAAAAGCATTTTAAACAAATAAAGTTTTAAAAATGTCTTCAGGAATCAAAGTGAAAAGATCTCCCATTAGCATCAATTATGATAATAATCACAATGGATTAGAATATATCAAGTATTCTTGAATCAAAGATTCTGAGAAAATAAAACAGCCATCATTAGTCACCTTTAAAGGGTAAGAAATAAACTCATTTTTAAAATGGATAAGTACTGAGTAAAACAAACAAAAAAAATCAAACTTTGATCTCACCTTTCCTACACAACTGGTTCCACAACAACAAATGGTTGGTGTGGAGATTTTTGTCTTTATAGAATTATTGCAGCTAATGTTCAGAGATCCACAAGGTTGACCCCAACTAAGAATCTAAGCAATAGTGGAGAGGCTACCTTAAATGCCCTTCCCCGATAATGAGATTTATGACTAACTTAAATGCCATCCTACAGCCTTCATCCAGTAGCTGATGGAAGCAGAAGCAGACACCAACAGCTAAACACTGAACTGAACTCCTGGAATCCATGCGCAGAAAGGGAGATGAGCAAAGGGTCAAGACTGTGCTGGAGAAACCCACAGAAACAGCTGACCCGACCTAGTGAGAGCACACGGACCCCAGTTGTAAAGCTGGGGAACCAGCATTGGACAGAACCAAGCCCTCTGAATGTGGGTGCCAGCTAGGAAGCCTGGGCAGTTTATGGGGCCTCTGACGGTGGAACCAGTATTTATCCCTAGTGCACAAATGGACTTTGGGAGCCCATTCCCTATGGAGGGATACTCTCTCAGCCTAGATACACGGTGGGGGATAGGGAGGGGAGTCTAGGCCCTCCTCCAAATGATGTGACAGACTTTGATGATCCCCCTAGGGAGTGGATGGGGGGTAGGATGGGGGGATTGGTGGAGGGCATGGGAGGATGGGAGAGAGAGGGAACTGGGATTGATATGTAAGATTGTTTCTAAATTAAAGAAAGAAAAAAAGAAAGTAGAACAACAACAACAAAAGAATTATTGCAGGTAGTAAAAACCAATGGAATTTCTGTAATGCCTAATGAATTAATGGACCTGGGCAATCATGTTCAATAGTTACCCCAAATATAAAGACTATCAGGCATTGCATACTTCCTTACAGAAGCATACAGTGTTATCCATGAAGCAGTTGTGTGAAAAGAGCACACACAAATCAAACTTGAACCTGACTAAATCTCATATAACTACTAATTAGGCAATACAGGAAACAAGAAAAAAAAAGACATCTTAGGGATAATATAGTGAGCAAAATGCAGATGGTAATGAACTCTTCAAAATAGATGATACAAGTTTCTTCAAATATGATGAAAATTCAAGGAAAAGAATGGGGAATATTTATATCAAATTTAACACATATATAAACAAGCTGGCATACACACTTTATATAGATTTTTTTAAAAAAATTATGGCCCAATGGGAGAAATGATAATACTGGTTGAATACTTGATATTAGGGGAGTTATTATAGCTAGGCATGGTGGCACATGACTTTAATCCCAGCATTCTGGAGATAGAGACAGATAGAACTCTATGAGTTCAAGATCAGCCTAGTCTGCATAGCATAGCAAGTTCTAGGCAGGCAAAGGCTACATGAATGAGACCTTGGCTCATCTAGCCTGACCCTCCACAAAGAAGTTACTATCAGGGCTAGAGATGCAGCCCAGTGAGTGCCTAACATGTATAAGGCTCTGGATTCAATTCTAAACAACACACACACACACACACACACACACACACACACACACACACGTTACAGCCATAGGTAAAGCACAATGTATTAGAAGTCTGAGGTAGTACTTGAGATACTATACTGAATAAGATCATGGGAGTGGCCCAGAAAAGAAACATATTCCAGAGAAAATGTAACAATACTGTTACATTTAATGACATTTTATAGGCAGTTAAAAATGAACAGAACAAGCTGGAGGGTGGTGGTGCATGCCACTACCACCCAACTAACAGCCTTTTAAAAAATACATATTTACAGATATTTTCTCTGCCAAATAATTATCATCAACAACATATGATCTAGTACTAGATTTTGGTTATACTCTGTTCTTGACCCTATATCATACCCTTGAGGTACTGTTTTATTTCTGTATTCTTCTTTATAGTTGTAAAAATTCTCACTTTCACTCATTTCCTCTCAAATATAACGTTTCCTCCTCATTCTACCTGAATATGGTTTCCTTTCTCCCTACTTTCCTAAAACTCTCCTTGTCTAAGTTGTCAATGAGCTGCTAATGCATGGAGGGCCAGTCTACAGATCTTTTATCTGATCTCTTGTATATTTATTGAAGATTTAAAATTGTTTATCTGGATAGATTTTGTGGTGCACACCTTTAATCCCAGCACATGGGAGCCTGAGACAGATCCTTGTGAGTTTGGGGCTAGCCTAGTCTAGGTAGTGAGATCCTATCTCAAATACACCAGTGTGTGTGTGTGTGTGTGTGTGTGTGTGTGTGTGTGTGTGTGTGTTCTAACTGGAGAATGTAAGGGGTATATGCCCTCTCCACAAATATCATTAATTTTTCCTTTCTTTCTGCTTTTTTAAGACTGGATCTCAAATTTGTGAATTTAGTCAGTCCTTGTACCCCAGCCTCCCTAGTAGCTGGGATTACTGGAATGCACCACACTCTGTCTAGCTTTATGCCTCTCCATCCTCAATATCAAGGTTGATCAATACTATAAAATATTTTAATAGATGGGAACACACAGATTTATTGTATATGACTTGCAAAATAGGAGGATCCACAATAGTTTTGCAAAGAAAATATATTCCTGGATGAGGATGTTGCTTACTGGGTAGACTGTTGGTCTAGCATGCACTGAGCCCTAGACTTGACTCCTCAGAACTGCATAAGACTGGGTATAGTGGCAAGTTTGAGACCAGCCTGGGCCACATGAGACCTTGTCCCACACAAACATACATAATTATATATACAAAATGTTTGCATCAATTTATACACTAATCAAACTATTATCTTTGGCTATAGAAAAATATTAGTATCTTCTTTATTATTCATGTAATATCTGACTTACCAGCTGCACTAATTTTTATAACCTAAAAACAATTCTTAAATTATTAATTAAAAATCCCATTTTTTGTTTTATAAATGAAAAAAGTAGAGGAAGCAGGAAAGAAGTATTTGTTATTATTATAACTCAGTCTTTGGGAATAAGTCTTGGATTAATAAACCCTGTCTGTACCACCAGCTCTGTGACTCTGGGCAAGAATCTAATCTAATTTTATCGATTTGTAAAATGGGAACCCATAACAGGATCTGCCTAGTTGGCTTGTTCTGGAGATTAAATGCAGATAAGGTATTTAACACAATGAGTGGCTATAATGATATAATAAACTTATTAGGGAAGTAAGACTAATTAGGAATATTGAAGACTCTCCCAGCTTTCTTCCTTCTTGGATATTCAGAAAGCAAGCTATGTGAGTCATCGAACCCTGTCAGAAGCAGGGTACAGCGTGTCTCCATGTTACCTTTAGGACGAAGGCAGGGCTGGGGCACTGAGCTAAATGATTGAGGGATCGCTTAGTATTTCACATAAGGTCTCTCTGAGCTTTTTAAAAGGAGCATACAGATTGATCAAAAAAAAAAAGGGGGGGGTATAGTTCTTGAAGTTCTTGAGGAAGGACGAAGGAATGGGGGTGTCCTTTCCCAATGGACCCCAACCTGGAAAAGTCCTCCGAGGCAGGAAGTTTAAGGGACTGCCAAAATTAGCACTCCTTGTGCCTCCTCAAGGGAGCCCACCACCACAGTTGTCCTTCTCAACACTTCCCTTCTCTCACCAATATCCATTTCCTTCCACTAATGGAGACTTCTTTCTGTCAAATTTGCTCGTTAGTACTTCACACTCCTTTCCTTCCATTTCTCATCCTCTGCCTCAGACTATCATGTTACTTCTTGTTCTGCACCTCGGTGTAACCCCTGTGCCTCAATTTCCTCTTTCTCCGCCTCAGGAACTGCTCTTCTGCAGGTCCCTGCCTCTACCGCGTGCTGCCAAGCCTTCCACCAGTTTCCTCTCAGCCTCTGACCCATGCTCCCGACCCACACCCTCCCGGCTTGGCCCTACCCGGCTGCTCCAGGGTCAGCGCCCCCAGGCGGCGGAGGCCCTCCTCGTCCAGATCCCATTGCTCCGCCATTCACGCCCGCCGCTCACCTGCCACCGCTCGCGAGACCGCCCGGCGCTCGCCAGACCACGCCCCCTCGTGCCAGGCCCCGCCCCCAGCTCAGGCCTCGCCCCTCCCACTTGCTGAGGACCTTGGTTCACTTAGGGACCGTTAGAGAACAGGTCACGCGCTTGTCCGCCTGCCACAGAAGTTAGGACTATGGTATGGAGCCCGTCCCTGAGAAGGGCGCCAAAACCACTGAGGTGGAGAATGGGGGAGTTGGTGCCCAGAATGAAGGCCTCGAGAATAGGGATCTGACTCTGGGGTCTGAGGGTTGGAAGGCGGCCCTAGTTTAGAAGCATCTGGGGAGAGCTTGTATGAGTAGTTGAGAACGTGCTGCCTTTAGGGATGAACTGCTTGTTCTGCTGAGGATTTGAGGGGCGCCAGGTTTGAGGGGTGGAGGAGGTACGTCTGTTTGAAGGATGGAGGCCTTTGTACCTTAAAGGCCATGTTTGTTCTGGACATTGAGCAAGATGGGAATGACGTTTAAAGGGGGAAATCCAGATCTGACAGTTTTGGGGGCAGAGCAGATATTGGCAGCATGACAGGAACTCCTGAAGGTAGGAGAAACTTGGCTCTGAGGAATTGAGTCCCGTCTTCAGGGCACTAAGGTTCTATCACGCTAATTTGATTTGGAAGAAGGTTGTATGGAAATAAGATGCTCTTTGGGATGACTAAAATCTGTCCTACTTACTGTCGTCGGTCTAGCAAGAAGCCATTTTTTCAAGTACTACAAGTTTCCCAAACTGCTGATGACTGGAGGCTCTTCCCCAGGCAGACTAGTTCTTCTCTAAGAAGCCCCTGAACAGTCTTTGGGGAAGAATGCTCTGGGAAGAATGGCTACATACCTAATGTTTACCAGGAAGCATCCCCCGAGAGCCTTCCCGTGTGTGACGAATGTGGAAGCAAATACTTGAACAAAGACCTTGTTCTTTAATAAGCAGAGCTCAATCTCCAAGGAGCAGGTTTACTTTAGCATCCAAGTATGCCCCAATCGTCATACACGCGTGTCTCAGCTGAGCTTTCAACCGGCTAGGTACCTTAGAACAGGAAGAAAGTCAAATCCTTGTGTATCTGTTCTTTCTGATATAGGTGGGGCCCTTAGTTACTCTCGGTTTATCATGTCCAGCCTAAGTCACATTTAGAAGGCATGGAACTCAAAATGTCTTTGGATTAGCTTTTCCAGTTCTGCTTCTGAGCCATGACTCCATTTTATAATCTGTATTCTTTCTCCGCCTAGAGCTTTTCTAGTCTGAAAGTGACATGCATAATGGTTCCTCTTTATTTCAGAAATGTAAACAACCTGTAGAAGAAATGCCCCTCTTATAAGAATTTATTTTTCTTCCTCAGAAGGACAGATGCAGGTTTTTGATGGAAGAGGAGGCTTTTCCTTTCTTTTTCTTTTTAAAGATTTTGTTTACTATGTATACAACATTCTGCTTCCCTGTATATCTGTACACCAGAAGAGGGCACCAGATCTCATAACGGATGGAGCCACCATGTGGTTGCTGGGAATTGAACTCAGGACCTCTGGAAGTGCAGTCAGTGCTCTTAACCTCTGAGCCATCTCTCCAGCCTTTTCCTTTCTTGAACAACCACCTTGTACTTTAATAGTCTTGTTCCCACTACCACCATTCTTAAGAGAATTTTAAATTAGTTTTTAGTTAGCATACAAACTAGTGGGTTCCATTGTGACATTTTCAAATATGTATATTATTCTCCTGTTTGTTGTGACTTTCTCCCCTTAAGTAGTCCCGCCTTTTGCTTTTATGTCCCCTTATTTCCCCTTCCTTTGGACCTTCGTCTCTCAAAGACCCCTTTCTACTTTCATAACATACTGTATATGTTTAAATCTATATTCCATGTATGAAAGAAAACATGAGTCTAGCTTATCTCCAATTCCATCCATTTTCCTGCAAATGTCAAAATTTCATGCTTTACAGCTGAATAAAATTCCCTTGTGTATATCTACTACATTTTCTTTATCTATTCATCTGTTGGCCTCTAAGCTGGTTCCATATCTTGGCTATTGTGAATAGTGCAGTAATAAACATGGATATGCAAATATAACTATGGCATGATGATTTAGAATTCTTTAGGTGTGTAGTAGTTAATTTTTGTGGTCAACCTGCCCAGAGTTGAAATTACCTAAGAGGCACTCTCCTAGGAATGTCTGTGAGAATATATTTCTAAAGAAATTTAACCAAAGAAGGAAGAGCCACTCTGAATGCAGCAGCCCCATCTCATGGTCTATGGCATCTGCCTGAATAAAAAGGGAGGATCATCAGCATACTTCTGCTTTCTGCTTTCTGGTCTTCCCAGATGTGAGGAGTCCTTGCTTCACGCTTCTTCTCCCATGAACTCTCATAGCTTCTCTCACATGCTAGACTGAATGCTCTTAAACAGTGAGCCAAAACAAATCTTCTTAAGGGACTTTTATCATTATTATTATTGTGGGTGGGTGCTCATGCCATGCAGAGGTCAGAGGACAACATTGTAGAATCAGTTTCTTCCAATTTGACATGGGTCCCAAGGATTAAACCCAGGTCAACCAGGCTCCTTTATCCATAGATTTTAAGGTGGCCCCTTAAATTGCTTTATACAAATACAAGTATTTTGTCACAGCACAAATTATATCTCCATGAGTGGTATAATTGGATCATATAATTATTTCTATGTTTAGTTTTTTAGATTTCTGTAGTGGCAGCCCCATTTTAGCATTTGTTGTTTACCTTTTGTTATTGTTAAATTTCATTTTATCACTTTTTTGTTTATGTGTATGTGCATATATACACATGATGTGTGAGGGTGTCCTTGGAAGCCAAAAGAGGGTGCTTCATTCCCTAAGGCTGTAGTTACATGTGGATGTGAGGTGCTCAACATGGGTATTAGGAACTGTTTTTGTTTTTTCGAGACAGGGTTTCTCTCTGCTGGGATTAGAGGTGTGCATTACCACCTCCTGGCATAACAAGTGTTCTTCATCATTGAGCTATCTCTTCAGCCCAAATTTGGTGTTGTTTTGTTGAAGGATAGTCATTCTGACTCAATGAAGTAGATATTCAGTGCAGCTTTAATTTGTATTTCCCTGATGGCTTAGGGTGTTAAACATTTTTTTCAGAATGTTACTGGCCATCTTATCTCACCCTTTGAAAACCATTACTTCAGTTCTTTTTATTGACTTGATGATTTGTTTTTTAGGTATTTGAAATCTGGAGTTTTTTAAAAATAAATTATTTCCGGGTGGTGGCACACACCTTTGATCCCAGTACTTGGAAGGCAGAGGCAGGCAGATCTCAGTGCATTCGAGGCCAGCCTGGTCTACAAAGTGAGTTTCCAGGACAGCCAGGACTATTTCAAAGAGAAACCCAGTCTTGAAACATAGTAATAATAATAATAATAATAATAATAATAATATAAAATCATTATATATATGTGTGTGTGTGGTGGCACACACCTTTGATCTCAGTACTCAGAAGGGAGAGGCAGGCAGATCTCTGAGTTTGTGACCAGCCTGGTCTACAAAGTGAGTTCTAGAACAGCCAGGGCTCTGCAGAGGAGCCCTGTCTCAACAAAACCAACAACAATAACAAAAAAGTTATGTATATGAGTGTTTTGCTTGCACATATATATGTGCATTATCTTCATGCCTGGTGTCCACAGAAGCCAAAAGATGATGTCAAGAGTCCCTGGAACTAGAGTTACAGATGGCTGTGAGCTGCCAGGTGGGCAATGGGAACCAAACCTGGGTCTTCTGCAAGAACAGCCAGTGCTCTTAACCACTTAGTCATCTCTCCAGCCCCCACCCTTTTAAAAATAGATTCTGGGCATTAATCCTCTGTTGGATATATAGCCACTGAACATTTTCTTCCATTCTGTAGGCTTCTTCACTTTGCTGATTGTTTCACAAGGCCTTTTGTCAGTTCTTGAGATTATTTCCTTTGCTTCATAAAGTCCTTGGCTACGACTATCTTTAAATGTTTGCCTGTTTTCCTCTAGCAGTTTCAAAGTTTCAGGTCTTACATTAAGAACTTTGATTCATTTTTGGATTGATTATTTAATAATTTTTAAATTACATTTATTTATTTTTTATTGTGGGGTTTTGGGGGCCCATAACACAGTACAAGTCAGTGGGTAACTTGAGGGAGTCTCTTCTCTCCACAATGAAGATTCTAGGGATCAAACTCAGATCATCAGGCTTGGCAGCAAGTGCCTTTACCCACTGAGCCATCTTACCAGCCCTTGAGTTGATTTTTGTGCAGTATTAGAGTTATACATTTAGTTTCATTCTTAAATGTGGAAATAAAGTTTTCCCAACACCATTTGTTGAAGAAGCTTTATTCCAATGTATGTTTTTGACAACTTTGTCAACAAGTAGGTGGCTGTATCTGGGAATCTATTCCATTGGTCTATGTGTCTCCTTTTGTGTCTGTATTATGCTGGTTTGTTTTATTTATTATTATTTGTTGTTGTTTTTCAGATTTTTTTATTTGAATTAGAAACAAGATTTTTTTTTACTTGACAATCCCAGTTCCCTTCTCCCTCCTGTCCTCCCCTACCACCCCTCTCCCCAGTGAAACCCTACCTATCACATATCCTTTCTGCTCCCCCTGAATGGTGAGGCCTTCCACAGGGGTGGGGGTCACCAGAGTCTATCATATCCTTTGGCATAGGGCCTAGGCCCACCCCCATGTGTCTTGGCTCAGGGAGTATTCCTCTATGTGGAATGGGCTCCCAAAGTCCACACCTATGCTAGGGATAAGTACTGAACTACTACAGGAGGTCCTGTAGATTTCCGAGGTTTTCTCAATGAAATCCATTTTCCTGGGGTCTGGATCAGTCTCATGCTGGTATCCCAGTTATCAGTCTGGGGTTGTTTGTTGTTTCTTAAGACAGAAATCTACCTGCCTCTACATTCTGAGTTGCCAGGATTAAAGGCCACCACTACAAGCCTCATGTTGTTTTTATTCTTATGACTCTTTAGTGTAATTTGAGAGCCTGTAATATAATTCTTCCAGCAGTGCTCTTTCTGCTTAGGATTGTTTTAGTTACTTGGGATAATTTGTGCTTTCACATGAATTTTGGGATTGATTTTTCCAGTTTTGTGGAGAATTTCACTAGCATTTTGATAGAGATTGTACTAAATATGTAGATCACTTTTGGTAATATAGCCAGTTTTTTCATAATACTTATTTGTCAGTACATGGAAATCGGAGGTCTTTCTGTCTCCTAGCATTCTTGTTTGTTTCTTCAGTGCCTTAAAGTCTTCATTGTAGAGTCTTTCACCTCCCGTTTAGCTTTACTTCTAGGTACTTGAAACGATACTGTGAATGGGATTTTCTTCTGATTCCTGTCTTTGCAAATTTGTTATTGGTATGTAGGAAAATTATGGTTTTTATTTGTTAATTTCATGTTATGCTACTTTGCTGAAAGTGTTTCCTCATATTTGAGAGTTTTCTGGTATATTATAGTCTTTTAAGTAGAGATTCATGTCTGCAAGTAGGAATATCTTGACCTTTACCTCTCCTATTTGTATCCCTTTTATTTCTTTTGTTTGTTTGTTTGAGATAGGTTTTTAGTCTGGAGCCCAGACTAGTATGGAACACACTAGATAGTGCAGGCTAACCTGAAACTCACAATGATGCCCCCACTTTTTTTTTTTTTTTTTTTTTTTTTGCTTCCTGAGCGATGGAATTACAGGTGTGAGCTACCATGCCCAGCTTTATTGTTCTACCTAAGTGTATGAAAAAGAAAAAAAATTAAGCATCCAGAAATGTTGTCAGTTTTATTATTTTGGCAGTTCAGGCAAAGAATCTTGAATTCTTTATATCAAAAATCTCTCTTGAATAACAAATGCCTTCTAGCTACCATGTGGGTACTAGGAATCAAATGCAGGTCCTCTGCAAGAACAAGTGCTCTTCACCTCTGAACCAACTCTTCAGTCTCAGTACTCTTGCTTTATTTAGAGACATGTAGCCCTGGCTAGCCTGGAACTTTCTGTGTCTATCACATTGGCCTTGATCACAGATCCACCAGCCCCTGCCTCCTAAATGCTGAGACTAAAGGTGTGCATGACACTTGGCTCTTTGTTTACTTTAAAATCTGATAATGGGCAAGCAAGATGTCTCATTGGGTAAAAGGACTTGTCAACAAGACTGACATGACTTTGATCCCCAGAACCTACATGGTAAAAAGAGTGAACAGACTCTTGTCCTCTGCCATGGCAACATATGTGAAAGAAATTTTAATCTGATAATGGTTTATGTGTTTCATGGCTTTCTACTTTTCCATGGTGTTGATAAACTAAATTAGTAATACTGCTACTACTAATAATAATAGAGACAGGGTTTCTCTGTGTAGCTCTGGCTGTCCTGGAACTCACTCTGTAGACCAGGCTGGCCTCGAACTCACAGTGATCCATCTGACTCTGCCTCCCAAGTGCTGGGATTAAAAGCATGTGCCATTACTGCCTAGCAATAAACTAGATTATCTTAAAGGAAAGTGAATAACTCACTTATAGATGGTCTTAAATTTTAGCAATGAGCTAAGGAATTTTAGTGATCTTTGTTGCTTTTTTATATATGAAAAGGCATCTACAACATTTATCCCCAATAATGGAAGGATCCTAAGAGAGCTCAATGAAATGTAGAGTATTCCATTGCAATGCTCTTTAAACACACATACACACACACACACACACACACACACACCCCATGTTCAGCAGTTAAGAATGCTTAAACACTTACTGCTCACTCCTTTTTATTAATAACATTTCAATGAGTCAGACCTGGTAGCACACATGCCTTTAATAGCAGCACTTGGGAGGCAGAGTCAGATGGATCTCTGTGAGTTTGAGGCCAGCCTGGTCTACAGAGTGAGTTCCAATACCATCCAGGGCTCCAAAGTGAGACCCTGTCTTAAACAAACAAATCTACCAAAATACTTTCAATGTATGGATATATTCCACTTTATTCATTCACCAGTTGATGGACAAATTCAACTAAATATAGTTATAAAGATTTATTTCTAGGCTCCAGTCTATACTGTATATCTATGTGGCTGTCTTTATACCAATAGTACACTGTCTTAATTAATCTTGCTGTGTAGTAAGTTTTCAAAATTGGAAGTATGGATACTAAAATTTAGTTTTTCTTTCCAAAGATTGTTGTAGCTATTCTGGGTTCTTTCTAAGGCAGCTGGTATTTTCATCAGAATTGTGTTGAATTTGTACGTTTGTTTGGAGAATATTACCATATTTTTAGGCAGGGTCTTGCTGTGTAGCTCAGGCTGGCCTACAGCTAGCAATCTTCCTGCCTTAGCCTCTCAAATTCCAGGGTTATAGTTGTTGACCACCATGCTTAACTTGAGTATTGTCATCTCCATATTAAATTTCTCAAGTGAACCTATTTCCCATTTATTTGAGTATTTTAAAAGTCTTTCAAGAAGGGTTAATCAGGAGAGGGGTCATCAGGAAACTGCTTGTTGTGCAAGAATGAGGATCTGAGTTCAAGCCCTAACACCCACATACAAAGCTAACTATCCTGTAATCCCAGCATTGGAGAGGCAGTGACAGGAGAATTGCTGGGGCCCAATGGCCAGCCAGCCTAGCTGAATCCAAGAACCCAGATTCAGTGAGAGATTACTCTCAAAATACAATGTGGACAGCAATTGCAAAAGATAACCAATGTCAGCATCTGGCACATATACACATGCCAAACAATGATTTAAACGGTGTTCTGATGTTTTCAGAGTACAGGAATTATACTTCTTAAATTTATTAATGACTGCTTCTTTCTGATGATGTTACCAACAGAATTGTTTATTTTTCTCATTTTCTTTCTCAGTGTATGTGTGTGCGTACATATATGTACATTCACATGAACAAGCCTATGTGTGTGCATGCAGAGATCAGAAGACAGCATCAAGTATTCTGCCCTTTCATTCTCACACTTACTCCTTTGAGACAAGGTCTCTCTCTTGAAGTAGAGCTCCTCATTTTTCAGCTAGGCTGGCAGCCAGCAAAACCCCCAAGGATCTTCTTGTTTCTGTCCCCACTCAGTGCTGGGGTTACAGATGAACACTGGGTCACACCTAGCTCTTTTACTTGGATGTTGGGAACCCAAATTCAGGTCCTAATGTTTCATAACAAGCACTCTTACCCATCATTCCAGCCTTTCTCCCACCTTTTAATACAGGGTCTCATTATGTAGCCATAGTTGCCCTTGAGTTCAGTATGTAGCACTTTCTGTCCTCAGACTTGTAGTGATCCTCCTGCCACAATCTTCCGAGTGCTGGGATTACAGATGCATGAAACCATGGCTGGCTTTTTAAATTGTTAATGTGTAAAATATAATTTGTTTTTTAAAATATTCTTCAGTCTTGCTGAGCTCATAACACTCTGTGTACGTGCGTGCGTGCGTGCGTTTGTATGTGTGTGTGTGTGTGTGTGTGAATTCCTTTGGATGTTGAATGTACATTACCATATTGTCAGCAAATGTAGTTTAATGCTCCCTGTCAGGATGCTTTCAATTTCCTTTTGTTACATAACTCTCCTCATTTTCCCTTTAGGAGGAACCTGGTGTGCCCCATGAATCAGCAGAGGATTTGTTTCATTTCAATGTTGGGGGCTGGCATTTCTCAGTTCCCAGAAGCAAACTTGCTCAGTTCCCAGACTCGCTGCTGTGGAAAGAGGCTTCAGCCTTGACCTCTTCAGAAACCCAGAGGCTATTCATTGACAGAGATGGTTCCACGTTTAGGCACGTACACTATTACCTCTATACTTCCAAGCTTTCCTTCTCCAGTTGTGCTGAACTGAACTTGCTCTATGAGCAAGCCCTAGGCTTGCAGCTGATGCCTTTGCTTCAGGTAAGATGTGCTTCTCCTCCAAGAGTGATGCTCAGCAGCATCACTAAATGTGGGGCTCCTTTTTATATTGGTATTTTAGGTAGCTCGTTTATTGGACAATGTAATAAATGAGTTAAGATGATGAACAATATACTGGGATTGCATAACAGCTCTTGTTTGTTTTTTGAGTCAAGGTCTCAATGTGTAGACAGGGACTATCTTGACTTTATGACCTCAAAGCCCCTGTTCACCAAGTGCCACATACCCAGCTCAACAGAGGCTTTCATCTGGTTCTGATTTATTTGTATCAGCAGCCACAAGGGACCTGAGATAGGAGTTAATGTTATTGAGAGGATATCTTAGGCTCTTTCAAATCTTATTTTAAACTGCTACTTATTTATTTTTTTTCTTTTTTGAGGTGCTCTGGATAAAATCAAGGCCTACTGCATGCTCTCCCACTAAGCCACATCTCCAATCCTTGGAGGTTTTTTGTTGTTGTTGGTTTGGTTTTTGTTTTGGTTTTTTGAGACAGGGTTTCTTTGTGTTGCCTTGGCTATCCTGGAACTAGCTCTGTAGATCAGGCTGGGCTTGAACTTGCAGAGATTATATATATATATATATATATTACATTTCTTTAAGGTAGTCTTACACTGTAGCCCAGGCTGTCCTGGAAGAACTAATTTTGTAGCTTAGGCTATCCTCAAACTTACAGCATCCTCCTATCTCAGCCTCCCAAATGCTGGGATTGTAGGTGTGGGTAACCATACCTATAGTAGGCCTTGGGTTTTATTTTATTTTGGTACATTTATTGTTAGTGCATACGTGATGTGTGTATATGGGCATGTATGCCATGGTGTGCATGTAGAAGACAGAACAACTTTGTGGAGTTACTTCTTCTTTCTTCTTTATGTGGGTTCCAGAGCTGGAGCTCAGGTTGTCAGGCTTTGTGCAGCAAGGGCCTTAACCACTTGAAACATCTTTCCAATTCACCCTTGGTACTTTGAAACAGGCTTCCCATTTGTGACTTCAGCTATCCTTGAATTTGAAGTCCTCCCCTCTGTCTCCCAAATACTGAGATTAACAGGCTTGTGTTGTGAACTTTTAAAAGGAAAAAACTGTACAACTTCTATGACTTACTATGTACACCTTGTCTGAGATTTAAAATCTGTAAGATTCATCAAGACTGTTTCTTCTCACAGACACAGTTGTACACATCTGTAATTGTAACTACTTAGAAGGCTGAAATGGGATGATTTCTTGAGTGCATGAGTTTAAGACCAGCCTAGGCAACATATTGACAACTCATTTGTTTTAAAGCATCTCATTGTACCTATAAGGTACTCAATATTCACTTTGGCAAAACAAAAGCTCTCCAATTTACAGAATCCTTTCTTTGCCTTCACTTCTTTATTTTCCAAGAGACTTTTTGTTTTTGTTTTTGTTTTGTTTTGTTTTGAGACAGGGTCTCACAGCTCTGGCTCTCCTGGAACTCACTATGTAGACCAGGCTCTGCAGGCTGACCTCAAACTCTACCTGCCTTTGCCTCCTAGGACCTGGGATTAAAAGCATGGGACACTACATCCAGTCCAAGAGCCTTTTAAATTTTTTAAATTCTTTTTTTGTTTGTTTGAAGCTTCATTTTTCTCTCTCTATCTCTCTCTCTCTCTCTCTTGTGTGTGTGTGTGTGTGTGTGTGTGTCTTGAGTATTTGTATATACATCATATGCATGCAGGTACCTGTGGAGACGAGAAGACAACATCAGATCCTCTGGAACTAGAATTAGAGGGCGCTGGAAGCAGCCATTGTGGTTGCTGGAAACTCAACCTGGGTCCTCTGACAGAGCAAGTGCTCTGAACTGCTGAGCCCAAGCAACTTCTTTACATTTCTTCCTTTATTTTTGTTTTTACTTTTGTACCTGTTTTTGGACCAGACTCTTATTATATAGCTCTGGTCAGCCTGGAATTCACTATGTAGATCAGCCAGATTTCAAACTCATAGACATTTGCCTGCCTCTGCCTCGCAAGCGCTGGTGATTAAAGGTGTCACCATACCCATTGTTTTTTGGTGATTTGAGTCAGGGTCTTATGTGGCTCAAATTGATCTAGAATTTACTATGTAACCAGTGGTAACCTTGAACTCCTGATCTTCCTGCTTCCAGTTAGTGCTTGGATTACAGATGTATACTACCATACCTTTTTGTATTTTTATTTTTTCATTTTGAGAAATGGTCTCAAGTAGTCCACACTGGCCTTGAACTAACTATACAGCTGAAGAGGACCCTTTATTCTATTTTCTTGCCTCTTTTTCTCACATGCTGGGATTACAGGCTTGTTCCTCTATACAATCTACTTACTTCCTTTTAAAAAAGTTTTGGTTTTATGATTTTTCACTCATGTATATGTGTATGTATCCTCATGAAGGTCAGAAGTGGGCATTGGATTCCATGATGCTGAATTATTAGTGGTTGTGATATGCCCAATTTGGGTTGGGAACGGAACTCAGATTCTCTGCAAGAGCAGCAAGAGCTTTTACCACTGAGTAGGTCTCTCTAACACAGTCGTTCCTTCCTTCCTTCCTTCCTTCCTTCCTTCCTTCCTTCCTTCTTTCTTTTCTTTTCTTTTCTTTTCTTTCTTGGGGGGTGAGGATTCAAGACAGGGTTTCTCTGTGTAGCCCTGGCTGTCCTGGAACTCACTATGTAGAGCAGGCTGGTCTTGAATTTAGAGATCTACTGGCTTTGCCTCCCTGAGTGCTAGGATTAAAGGCTTGAAACACCAAATGCCCACCTGCACCTTCCATTCTTATTTTAAAGCATCAAAGTATGACAGAAAATGGAAGCATTACTTTTAAGTTTTCTCCAAGCCACAGAGACCATTTCTATGGTGGCTGTACTTTAGTTTATTTGGTAGGTTTTGAACAGGATTTTTTTTTAACCTGAAAAAACTAAATATTATGACTGAGAAGGAAATCTGGGCATGTTCCATATCAATCTCACTGTCTGGACAAGTTGTTGTTTATTCCATTTCCATAAGGACTAGCCCATTAACTACAGTGCAGCTCTGTACACCACTAATTATGCCTTCCCAATTCCTCTTGGGAGAAAATTGACTTACACTGTGTATGTATCTGGGTCAGAGGGAAAGAGACCATTTCATTTTGTAGTATATGTGTTTATGGATAATCCTTGGTAAATATTTAGAAATCCAATAACTGTTAGCACACCTCAGTGCAAGTCGTAGTTCTCTTATTTTTTTTTTTTCAAACTTACCACTTGAATCTAAATTTTTGTCAACTTCTTTGGGAATAAAGTACTAGAATTGCTTGCAAGTGTTTTCAAAACTGTTTAAATGGCATGGCATATTAGGATTGCTCATGGCTCTATGCCAAGGCACCTTTTTGTGTAGAGGAGTAACTTGTCCATTGCAGAAAAATCAAAGAGATCAAGGCAATGCTTTAGAGGCTAATTTAAAAGAATACAAGCTTCTTATACAAACAGTTTATCAAGCCCTTTAACCCCTTTGCTGTCACTTCCTAAACTGAAACAAAATATATCTGGGAATCAGCTTCGAAGCAGGAGGCACCAACTCAGAGGCTATTGAGTTGGTCTGATTCCAAAATTCCAAAATGTGTGAGCAGCAGAATCTGAACAATTATGTGGATCTGCCTCCCTAAAACAGACTGTGAAACAAGTGCTTATGCTTCGGAAATGGTGTTTTCGAAGAAATAAACATTTGGGCTGGCCCAGCCAAAGTGGTATTTATTCACTGAAGCAGAGTGTAAATACAGCTGGGAACCAACAGCCGCCTCAGGCAAGTCAACTGCCTCACACATTTCCACCATTTTTCTCACTGCTAAGGCCTATCCAACTACTCAGAGGTTTGCCTAAATGAACAAATGCCGCTTGGAGAAAATGAATTTTGTCAGTACTTAGTCTAAAGGCTCTTCTTAAGAAGTCCCACTTCAAGCATTTAACTATGAGGTGAGAGAATTCTGGCTTCCAGTTATTATTCCTAGGGGCTTTAGGGAAAACAAAGAATGGTACAGTAAAGTATAATGTGAGCCATGTGTGTGGGTGGCATATGTAATTACATATAGTTTCTTTTAAGAGGTGGGGTCTCACTATGTTACTTCAGCTAGTCCTGCACTCCTGGATTTCACTGCTCCTCCTGCCTCAGCCTCCCAAGTCACTGGAGGAGTATCGGTACATGCAGTAACTTCTTGCTTCATAGGTATTATTCAAATTTTGTAGTAGACAAAATTTAAAAAGTATAAAGAAATGAATGAAACACCAATTTTATGATATATTTTAGCTAACCCAGTGATGGGGGAGGTCCTTCTGTGTATATGTTTGTCTTATTGGTTGATAAATAAAGTACTGTTGGCCAATGAGGAAGCAAGTTAGGTGGCACTAGGAGTCAAGGAGGATTCTAAGAAATGTAGTAAAAGGAAGTCTTATGAAGTGACATAGCAAGCAGACTCATATATAAGCAAGGACAAACAGGAAATTGTCCTCTTGCTCTTGCTCTTCCTCTGGCTCTCTGCTCTGGAGCCACCATGTGATTTCCAGGAAGAGGATGCCAGTGGAAGGTGTCCTCGATAAGTCTTATAAAATATATAGATTATGATAATTAAGACTGGGATAGCATATAAGACATCCTAGTCAATTGGCCAGCAGCATTATAAACTAATATAAGACTCTGTGTGTTATTCTGGGCACCACGAGGCGGCGGGGCTCAGGCAGCTATGGAGTACAGACTTATCATTACAACTCAGTATTTTCAAAATTTTAAATATGATACTTTTTTCTTTTTTAAAGATTTATTCATTTATTATGTATACAGTGTTCTGCTTGCATGTATGTCACCTGATTTCATTACAGATGGTTGTGAGCCACCATGTGGTTGCTGGGAATTGAACTCAGGACTTCTGGAAGAACAGTCAAGTGCTCTTAGAGGCTGAGCTATCTCTCCAGCCCTCAATACTTTTTTCTTCTTTTGTATCAAGTTTTCCATTTCTGATATGTT